TGACAGCTGTGTTCCAGCAGCTTCTGGTCCATCCAGAGCTGCTTCCTGCTGGTTCCTGGTTGACTCTTGACCATCCTGACCAGTCGTCTCTCAGCAGCAGCTGCTAGTTTGTGTTTCCTTCCTGATGGTGGCAGTAACACAACTGGACCATGAACTTTAAGCTGACACACTGATGGTTCTGGATCTGAAGCTGCTCTGAAACGGCTCCAGGTGACTTTCTGACTGGTTCTGGTCACTGATGTTCTTCTCCAGATCGTTCCTGAGACTTTCCCACTGTAGTGTTTGAGTCTAATGAGTGGATCAGATGGTTCTGTTTAAACTGGATCAGAGGAGTCAGCAGCTGGAGTCAACCAGAACCACTCAGGAGAAGTTACGAGGTCATGAAGCTAAGAACATCTGATCAACACAACTTTCTACATCAACAGAACTGATAAATTCAAGTCTTTGTATATTTATGACCCAACAGGTTTTGTCATTTTTCCAGAAGAACTTTAACAAGTTTGAAAAAGAACCAGAACGCCTGATTGAGTTCTACGAGTCACTGGAAGCTGGAGACTAACACGGTCTTTAGTTTTGTTCCTGACTCTCTGCTGACGTATGTTCCTGTTGCAGGTCTTCGTCTCGGGATGTTCTGAGAGACGAGGCAACAGTCGGTCCGACCGGTGGCTCGTACAAACAGACGAGCGTCTACACGCGCTCAGACGGAGACTGGAGTCCGATTCAGAGGTACGAACATGAACACGAAGGCTTTACAGGTGGGAAGCAGGCAGTTAGCATCTATCTGGAGATCATCTAGAGAAGTCTCATTGGTCCTACAGTCTGCAGAAGTTTGTTTCTCTGACCTTCATCTTCCTACACAAACTTGCTTTAATGCGCTAAATAAATAGATGTTTATTTATTGTTTTCGTCTTTCAGTCCAGGAAACTCCCGCCCGACGTCTCCAAAGAGTGACTCTGAGCTCATCACCAAACCGTCGGATGCCGGCGGCCAGAACCCGGCCATGCACTGGGCCTGGGGGGAGCTGCCTCAGGCTGCCACGGTAACAGACCTCCACAGATCTGCAGCAGGTCTCAGTGTGAAGCCGCATGGTTCTGATCGTTCTGCTCGTATCTGCTCCGCTTCCTCCAGCCCTCCTTCCTCCCTCTGAAGCCGGAGCCTCCGTCCGTCTGCCCCGTCTCCATCCCCGTCACCGAGAGCACACACTTCAGGGTGATCAGCCACGAGATGCTGGAGGAGACGGTGGTCACGGTCGGGATGGAGATGGAGACGTCCAGGATGGAGACGTCCAGGATGGAAACGTCCAGGATGGAGACGTCCAGGATGGAGACGTCCAGGATGGAGTGTCAGGCTGCAGGAGGAGCAGCAGCTCGCATGATGTCTGACATGGAGGAGACGATGCTCCGTCCGCTTGGCAAGACGGACTCTCCATCCAAGAGAAAAGGTACCGGCTTCGGTTCTCTCAGTTCACTGATTCTTGATGAAAACAGCACCAGTCCAACATGTTGGCTGCATTTAACTTCATTTCTACTTGATTCTTTATAACCTGTTGAACTCTGAGCACCAGTTTCTGGAGGTTTCTTTGCTCCCGTCTCATTTTTCTTCACCGTGGATCACTTCATAAAGTCCTGCTGCACCTCTATGGAAACAACGCAGCAAAGAAAGAAAAGCAGAATTTCTTTAATTATCTATTTTACAAACAATTAGAAAAACATTTGTGTATTTTTCTGGAACTAGAAGGACTGTGCTTCTACATACTGTTGGCATTTTTAGCTAATTTTTACTTTCAAGGCATTTTGGATAAAGTGACTGATGAAATATTAAATTCCTG